GGAAGGGGTGGTGTCCAGTGGGGGCGGCTCCTGGTGTAGGGATTGGGGGGTGTCCCCCCTATGCCTGAGGCCTGGCTTGGGTGTTTGCAGGTGCTGGGTCTCCCTCCCCTCAGGCCCTGCTGCCTGTGGTGGGGTCCTGTGCCCCACCCCCGGCAGCGGTGGGTGGTGGCTGGGCCCCCCCACGCTACCTTGGCGGAAGGGGTGCAGGTGGGCTGCGGGCTTGGCTGCGCTGAACTGCAGGGAGGCAGCCCTGGCGGGTCATGCAGCGGGGCCAGTGTGCCACTGAGGAGGCTGCTGAGCTCTGCTTCAGCCGCGGCAGCTGCAGCCTGCTCCTGGTGTGTGGCTCTTGCTGGGCTAAGCCTGGCTAGCGGGCCGGTGGCCCAGGCAGGTGTTACACTGGGGAAGAGGGAGATGCAGGGTCCTTTCCTTGGTTATAAAAGGCTGCCAGTGTGGTTCGGGACAAGGCCTTCTGCCTCCGTTCCCCTTTGCGCACCAGTTACCTTTGTCCTCCAGCCCCGTTCACGCTTGGGCTGCCAGATTTGCTAGGACAGAGTCCTTTTTAAGCATCCCTCCATCTTCAGTGATTTCTGAGGGTCTTTAACAAGCTCAGGCTTCTGCTCTGGAGTGTCTTGGCTGGATGCTGGTGGTTCATGTTTGAGAAGTTTGTTGGCAGTCGTTACATATGGCCAAGTGCCAGCATCATGCCACGGTGAAGGAGCCTCCTGAAGGAGTATGGCTAACTTGGAGGCGTGGGCCTGGCTGATGCCTGGCGTGGTCACCTTCCTCTAGGTGAAGGAGAACAATTACCGCGGCCATGGGGACAGTGTGGATCAGCTGTGCTGGCACCCGAGCAACCCGGACCTCTTTGTCACCGCGTCGGGAGACAAGACCATCCGTATTTGGGATGTCCGCACCACCAAGTGCATTGCCACGGTGAACACCAAAGGTGGGGATCGGTCAGAACACATCTCTGTGGGGCCCCTCAGCAAATGTTGCACCCAGTATGAAACCAGAATGCTCTGCAGGATGTTGCTCCAGCATCTGCATCCCTTGGGCTTACCTGAGCCAGAGGGTGGCCAAATGCAATGCTCCAGGGCTTCTCTCCTCTCCTCTCCTCGCATTTATCTACACCCGGTGCTGGTCCTCCACTGGGCTGGGCTGGCTGACTAGGCCAGGTTGAGCTGCATGGGCACTAGTCAGACGGCAGAATATTTAGTGTTGTTGCTACCGTCATGTGGCTGTAGGCATCAGGGATCCAGGTTGTGGGAGATGAGTCTCTATCACCTGCTCATGTTTCTGATATAGCTTTTTTTTCCGTGGCTCAAGCATATACAGAAGGTATTCATGTGCAGATTCTTGAGCTCTGGAAAAATGTTGCATATGCATTTTTTTTCTTGCAAATATCATGAAGCTCTAAACAATTACCGGGCAGCACTAAGAAGCAGTAGTGGGTTTGCAGTGTAAACTTGGCCTCGGCCATGTGAGAGCAATTCAGAGTTGGTAGGGCAGGCATGAGGCTGGGGCCAGCTGTGGCCCCTGTGCTGCCCTAGCTCCTGGTTGGATTTGCTGCACTCTCCTCCCTTCCAGGGGAGAACATCAACATCTGCTGGAGCCCTGACGGCCAGACCATAGCAGTGGGGAACAAGGACGACGTAGTCACCTTCATCGATGCCAAGACCCACCGCTCCAAGGCTGAGGAGCAGTTCAAGTTTGAGGTGAACGAGATCTCTTGGAACAATGACAACAACATGTTCTTCCTGACCAACGGCAATGGCTGCATCAACATCCTCAGGTATGGCCCTCGCACAGCATCCACCTTCCCCTGAGCCTGCATGGGCAGTGTGGTCACAGGTAGATCCTCTACTGCTCCTCAGCAGGAGCCCTTGGGGTTGCTGTCCTTGCATGTTTCCCTCCCCTGTGGCTGTGGCATCTTCATTGAGCAAGGGAGCCTGGTTCCTTGTGGTCTTGACCCCCAGCTGCTCGAGGCTATGTGGCCTCACTGTGCTGACCAGGGTGCCCCTCTGCAGGCAGCATTTGCTGGCCAGTGCTCTGGAGTTTGGGTCCTGCTCACTTAAGCTGTGTCTTCCCTGTCTGTGCACAGCTACCCAGAGCTGAAGCCCATCCAGTCCATCAATGCCCATCCTTCTAACTGCATCTGCATCAAATTTGACCCCATGGGGAAGTACTTTGCCACAGGAAGCGCGGATGCTCTCGTCAGCCTGTGGGATGTGGATGAGCTGGTGTGTGTGAGGTGCTTTTCCAGGTAGGTGCCCAGGCCCCATGCCTGCTCTCTGCCCTCCCAGTACAGAGGTGGGAGAGCCCTCACCCCTGTCTCATCCCCTCCTCTGCAGGCTGGACTGGCCCGTGAGAACGCTGAGCTTCAGCCATGATGGGAAGATGCTGGCATCTGCCTCTGAGGATCACTTCATTGACATAGCGGAAGTGGAGACGGGTGAGTGTTCTTGCTCCTTTGGCCCTCTGAGGTGGCTGGCTCTGGTCATGGCTTAGGGCAGTGGTTCTCAGCTTTTTAGATTCAAGGCCCTGCTTGGAAAATGCCAGCTCTGAGCTTTTTGACTGTAGACAAAGCAAGAGAGCAATTCTCTTGGTGCAAAGACCAGAGCAGGGCAGAATGGTTTTGACACTGGCTCCTGTTTGAAATCTCTGGGTTTATCTTGGGAATCGTGTGTGCATATCTAGCAGTGCTAACATGGCATGGCACCCATAAAAAGGATCTCAGGGCACCCCAAATTGCTGTGTCACCCTAGTTGAGAGTCACTGGCTTTGGAGACGTGGGGTAGGAGGGAGGAGGTTGGCAGGGCTGGGATTGCAGGAGACAGGTAAGAGCCCAGGCAGGGGTGGGACTATAGGAGCGGGGTCTGTCCATGCCTGTCTCTTTCGGTACATGTCATGGCTTATGAGACTGCATAGGTGCACTGTTCCCTGCACTGGCAGGAGTGTGGGTAGGTATGGGGGTGCATCTTAGGGTCTCTCCAAGGGTGCTGTTGCCCTGTGCAGGGCTCTCTGGCTTGGCTCCCCTCACTCTGCCCTCTATTGCCCAGGGGAGAAGCTGTGGGAGGTGCAGTGCGAGTCACCCACCTTCACTGTGGCCTGGCACCCCAAGCGCCCGCTGCTGGCCTTCGCCTGTGATGACAAGGACGGCAAGTACGACAGCAGCCGGGAGGCTGGCACCGTGAAGCTCTTCGGGCTCCCCAACGACTCGTAGCAGCACTCACGGACTGGGCACCAGGGCAGGGCGCGAGTCCCCCAGCGGCCCCATTCAATACCTGCAACATTTCGTCTACCCTGCCAGCCAGGATCGGTGGGCTGCTGGCAGTGTGGGGCTCCGTCTTTGGCTGTCTGCAAAGACCCCCAGAGCAGGGCCTGCAAAGAGCAGCTCCTGCGCTTGCAGGAGTGTGGAAAAGATATCTTGCTCTAGTGTCAGACTGTGCAGGGCAGCCTCCCAGGGGAAAAGATCAGGGCCTCCGGCTCAGCCCTGCAGGACTGGGTGGGCAGCAGTCCCTGCTAGAACAGTTGGCTGATAGCACAGCTACCCCTTCCCCCCCTGCCACGGTGCTGGGGTTGGGGGGTGCCCTGAATGCAGCACGCTCATTGCAGCGTTGGAGAAGCGTTGCTCTTGTAGAAGTGGCTGTATGAAGCTGTCCCCCACCCAGGGTGGTGTTCTCCCTCCTGTCTTTGCTGGGCTGTTCAGCATCAGGGAGGGAGTATTTTTGTATGGGTTTTTGTAATTTTTGATAAATGCACTCCAATAAAGGGAGTACAGCGCCAGCTGGCCAGGGGCTTGTTGTGCAGGGGGCCCAGGGTGTCCTGCCACAGTGTTGCAGGAGGGGGCAGTGCATGCCCAGCTATGGGGCCTGCAAGGGCCTGGTGGCTTGAAACCAGCCTGAAGTCTCCCTTGGCGGCCTGGGGTCCTGGCCCCTGTCACAGAGCACAGGCCCAGGGCAGGCTGGGCTTGGCCCTGGCACCAGGATCCCAGGCTGGGCCGTGCTGTGGGGGGCACCCCCCGGCAGGAGCTTGCAGTTCTCCTCTCATCGGCTGCACCTGGAGGGCACTTGAGGCTTAAGCCCTCCTGTGGGTCACCTCTAGGCCTGCCTCTTGTTTTGCGCTTCCCCGGAGTAGTGGGGGAGGGGGCTGCATGCCCAGGTCTCTGGGCTCATGGCATCAGCTCCCAGCTGTACCCAGGCCCCTTCTGCCAGGCTGCTTTGGGAAGGAGCCTAGGCTTCCCCCGTGGGAGCCAGCAGCAGCCGCCTGCCCGCGTGGCCGTTGCTGGGTGCAGGGGAGGGGGAGAAAGGGCTGCAGCACCTGCGGCCGCGTCTGTGCCCTGGGGTGGAAGCCCGAGCCCCCGCGGGAAGCGGGAAGCGGGACAGGGCCCCGCGCGCTGGTCCTGCCCCGAGCCGCAGGGCAGGCGGCCCGTGGTACGGCCGCTCCCAGCATGCCCCGCGCGCGCCTCAGCCGCCGGGCACGCCGGGAGTTGTAGTC